TATGATGAATTTCTATTCAGTTCTTTATTAACGGACGTGTAGTTTGTTTCCTAGCATTTGCTACTATAAACAATGCTATAGTGAATACCTTACATATCTGTATGTTATATATATGTACATCTATTGGAAATCCCTAAAAAGTTGACTTGCTAGGTCAGTAGTTTTATACATTCCAAATTTTGATAGATTTTACCAAATCATGTTTTTATAAGGTGGAATTAATTTACATTTCCAGAAAAACGATGACAGTGACTATTTTCCCACTCTTTTTTCTAGAACCATATCTTTGCCAGCCTGGTATATTTAAATGGGTACCTCATTTTAATCTTTTTTTTTTTTTTTTTTAAAGAGTGAAGTTGAGCGTCTTTGCTTATATGTATACAACTCAGCTATATTTCCTTTCCTGGAACAATTATGTTGATATCATTTGTCCATTTCCTCTTGGACTGTTGTTGTTTTGCTAAAATGCACATATGTACACACACATACACACACACACACACACACTTTTCAATGAATCATAATATATTTGTGATATAGGAAGGGGTTCTGGAAACTACGTATATTTCTTCAGCCTGAATAAATATTGCTTACATGAATAAATACTTCTCTGAGTTTCCAAATGTACAAGCTACTATTTTCAATAAATTATAAATGCATTTAAAAACATCTTTGGTGGGGCTGTAGCTCAGTGGCAGAGCACTTGCCTAGCATGAGTGAAGCACTGCTTAATCCTCAGCACCACATTAAAAAAATACATTAATAAACAAATATATTGTGTGTCCCTCTACAACTACAAAAATGTTTTTTTTTTTTAAAAATCTCTTATATCATAATAGCTTTTCTGATATGTGAGGAATTCTGGAAAATCTTTCATTTTAAAAAAGTTTTCCAAGGCTGAGGTTATGGCTCAGTGGTAGAGCGCTTGCCTAGCATGTGTGAGGCACTGGGTTTGATTCTCAGCACCTCAAATATAATATAATAATAATAAATAATAATAATATAAAGGTCCATCAACATCTAAAAGAATACAAACTTAAAAAAAAAGTTTTCTTGCTGGATGGGGATAGGGGTGTATTGAGCACCTGTAATTCCAGCTACTTAAGAGGCTGAGGCAGGAGGAGGAGCATAAGTTCTAGGCCAGTCTCAGCAACTTAGTGAGATCTTACTTCAAAATAAAAAATAAAAAGGGTTGGGGATGTAGTTCAGTGGTAGAGAGCTCCTGGGTCCAATTCCCAGTATCAAACTAACAAAAGAGAGAGAGAGAGAGAGAGAGAGAGAGAGAGAGAGAGAGGATTTCTAATCAAAAATGTTGTTAATCATTAGCCTATATGTACATACTTTCATTTAATGCTAACATGTGTGTATATGTACATACATACACACACTTATATAAATATTTGTACTAGCTCTAATCTGGAAAGTATTTAAAATGGCTTACGTCTTTAGCAAGTGAAGATAATGAGGCCCTGAAACTATCAATTTTCCCAAATCAAGATCAGAGCCTTGACAGTTTCCACTTGGTGGTGTCTGCCTAGTTCAAGATCACAGGCCTCCTCAGTGCGTCCTTAGGCCTCCTTCAATAAATATTCATGAGATTAAAATTAGGTGAATTGGAGGAAGAACATCCACCCAGACCCTGAACTTGAAAAATCTCACGATCTCATCATTTTCATCCCACTGGCCTGAGGACGCCTCCAGACACTTACGCAGAAGCAGCAGCTGCTGCAGGTACAGCCCCACTTACTTCATTGCACCTTCAGCCACACCGAGATTTTGGAGAAAGCCATTGTTTTTTTCAGTCAACGGTTGTTCCTTCCCAGCTGTCTTTGTCTGCAGAGATGTCCCATCATTTAGACTTGGGGGTGTGAGCTCCATTCCTTCAGACTGCAGGGACAGGGACAAAAGAGGAATTTCATCATCTCCTCTGACACCTAGCTGATTCCTCCTCAGGGAGATAACCCAGGCCCTTGACCTGCCACGATGGCCATCATTGTAAAGGACCTGAAACTGGCTCTGAGGTTTCTCTGCCCACATAAATGAGGGAAGGTCGTGTGTATGTCTCCCCAGGAACACACCTATGTCTGAGGCTGGGAGATGTATTTTGAATCCCCAAATGGGAATACTATAGAGGAATATATAACAGCCAGCTGAGGGGATGGAAATCTCCATTTAAAAACAATCTCTTTGGTTGCAGATGGACTCAATACTTTTATTTATTTTTTTATGTGGTGCTGAGGATGGAACCTGGTGCCTCCCACATGGTAGGCAAGCGCACTACCACTGAGCAACAACCCCAGCCCAGGAATCTCCATTTTTATAGCCTGTTTCTGATGATATGATATAATAATAGGCTCATCGCAAAAAAACAGAAGAGATGAAAGATGAAAATAAAATGACTGCTACTCCAGAGATAACCAAAGATAACTCCAGTTTGCCCAATTTAACCTTCGCTAGTATTTTGGTACATTATCTTTGTTTCTAAATTTGACATTTGTTTTATTCTTTTCTCACTATTAACAACCAGATCTTTTCTTGTTGTTCATAATATAAATAATATAGTAATGAGGTGGGTGCAATGATGTACTCCTGTAATCCCAGTGGCTCTGGAGGCTGAAGCAGGAAGATCACAAGTT